TGAGGATTTGCCTGCTGCTAATAAGTTCTGGCGAACATGTGACCAGTGACCATCAATTGTCTCCAGTGAGCGATTGCTCAACTCACATGTCAGCGTACTTTGATACGCATTCAGAACAGCTGGCTTTGTCAGTTGGCTGGTGTCAATGCGCTCACAGCGTCGTCGTGGGTGTCCGCCAAAACGCATCCGCATGTCAGCACATACAAGTGCATGATCGGTGTCCACACATGCACTCCAAATCCAGCGACAGTTCCGGTTGCAGCCTCTCCAGCGGTAACTGATAGCAATGTGATCGATCTGCGTCCAAGGCTGGTGGGCGCCAAGTCACTCTCCGGCGGGTGCTGTGTCGGAAGTTAGTGCCCGCCAGAAATAAGCGGGATCTTCACACAAATGAAGTAACCGCTCACCGTTATCATTACGGGAGACTACACCGCACTGACCGCCCAAATGCATTTCATCAGTGGACAACTTTCCAACTTGTGCGTTCAGATCCCCCGCCAGCACAACAGTGTCCGTGCTTCTTCTGTGGCGAAGGAGCTGAGTCATTTGGCGGTAGAGGTCGTTCTTTACCGAATTATCGCTACAGTTTGTGGACGCGTAGGCAGCGATGATGAATAGACACCTATTAGTCCCGCGCGACTTCGAAGCTTTAAACGAGCCAGCCAATCGGACCGCACACATCCGGCTATTGATTGGAATCCAATCGACCAGAGCAGCTTCAGCCCGAGGACTCAGGGCAATGCCAACACCAGCTTGGCCGGGTGCTCGAAGCTGCATCGTCACCGGAGAAGCGCAATGAGAAAATACTGCTAGTGTCACCTGAAGGGGATCGCAGAGTGAGCACAGAGCTCGAGTCTTGCAGGCGCGTCTCCGATAAGCAGCAGATATCGATCGAGAGGGTCTCTAATGTTCGGGCAAGTGTTGCCTGTTGACCGATTTAAAGCAATGTGCGAACATTGAGGCATGCCAATCTGAAGGAGGATGTAGGGCTCCAAATGAAAGCCGATGAACTGGAATGGACCGCTTGGTTGGACATGGGCTTGTCGACAGGAGAGGAGTGACGCTCCGCGTTAGCAGGTGAGTTGAAATTAGGAGATAAATGCCTAACAAAGTATGTTGGGAAAGGGCCAAGAATCGGGGGTTGAAAACTGGAGGGATATAAGTGAAGTTGGAACGGGCCGGTAAGAGAGAAAAGGCGTAAGAGGGGGAATAAGAAGACGGGAAGGCTTGAGCAGTAGCATCCAAACCCCTACCCACCCTGCTCGATGCGGCAGATAGGGCACCGTTGAGTATCCTCTGCGGTGGCCAGAGCATCAGAAATTTGTTTGAGGTAAGATTCATTGTATTGCGTGGGCAGGATACTGTCAGGTTACCCAGGCCTAGACAGGAGAACGATTAGGGTTCTCAACCAAAGCCTTTGGTTCAAAAACCTGACCGCAAGGCAGCGGGTTTGGCGTTGGGCTACAAGGAGTCCGTTTTAAGGAATAAGGTGCCACCCTCATTCCACCCCCAACCTGGAGGGATGGCCTCCTGCGTTGACCCTTGGTGGGGATCAGCTAGAAGTCGTCCGGAAATTCTACTGCCTGGGAGTGTGTATCAGCGCCCTTGGGATCGAAGACGAGATCACGAACCGTGTAGCGAAATCTCGGAGTGCTTTTGCTAACCTTTGCCACCTATGGCGGCGGCGCGACATTACTCTCGCCCTGAAGGGTAGAGTGTACAATGCAGCGGTATATTCGACCTTACTGTACGGTTGCGAAACCTTGTCCCTAAGATCGGCGAACATGAAGAGGCTAGTTACGTTCGACCAGCGTTGCCTTCGCAGTTTGGCTCACATATGGTGGGGACACCGCGTGAGTAACGAGCGTGTTCGACGCCTTGTTTACGGCACAGGAAAAGGATCTGAACCGCTCAGCACCGTCATTTCACGCATCAGGCTCCGATGTCTGGACCACATGTTGCGCATGCCAGCCCACCGACTTCCACAACTTGCGTTGTTTGCTAGCCGGGGATGTGAATAGAAGAAGAGGAGGGGTGGCCAAGCGATAACCTGGTCAAGAGGAATGAAGGCCCTCACTTCTGTGCTGTCCTCGGTTGAAGCGTCACGGCTCCCTGGTTGGGGTTCAAAAGACGGTGAACACGTTTGGCTGGATACACTTGCTGACATGGCAAGGAGCCGACCTCAATGGCTTTCCTGCAGGTGGTTTCTTTATCCCTTCCCATTCCTTTTAGCCTTCTCCTCCACCCACGATCTCATTTTGTAGCGTGAAACGTATTTTTCTTTTTGCCTATTAGCCGGCTCGTAGCTTGCCGGAACGTTGCCTATCTGCTGCTGGCATGCAACTGTTGTGTGTATTTTCTTTTTCCTTTATATATTGCGGCACAGTAGCTGAGGTGTCTCCCACCTCTAGCCGACGTGTATAATGATGATGATGACGATTCACTCATTCACTGAAATTGGCTTTTGGACTGCAACTTGGTAAGTTATAGCCTCGTGGTCTCTGCACAATGGTAAACATACATCCGTATGCGGTCACTCTCTAGCCGTGACTAGGAGTCGCCTTTACACTAATGACTATTGTCTTGGTGTATATTTGCGCCAATACTGCTGGGTCGACAATTACTAACCCAGCCGAACTTACGGTACACCTGAATAACCGGATAATGCGGTTACGAGTAGACATTTACTGGGTTTTGCAGCCTAACGCCTTTTTCTATACAACGTGGATGATTGTGCTCCTTGACCTCCAAATATCTAACATATATTCGTTAGTCTGGGATGATGTACAAACTTCTGCGTCTGTCTTCCTTATTGCGATACCTTTGTCCAGCTAAGTCACATCAATGCGCCGCTCCAAAGACAGACTTAGCTGCACGAGTGGTCGATGCGTGATCTCGTAATTTCATGTACCGACTGCGTACAATGGAGACTAGTAAGCAACGTTCGCAGGAGCAGCTTCATTTCGAGTAGGTAGGCCTCGGATCTCTCGCTGGGTTACTAATTGCAAGCAAAAACAACTACTGACGTGCTTCATTTGACAGACCTTCACATGCCTTATTAACTCGTCCGAAGATTTTACAAAGCTCGGTTTCTTGCGGGCTGTGACGGAGGTCCAACAGTTCAAATTGTTCTTTACTTCAGAACAATTGACTTGTCCGTGTAGTCATTGGCTGGAGCTTACGATTAATCCAGCTTCACTAAGTCTAGCCGATTCATCCTACACTTTTTCCGGCTTCCGTCATTTGCTTTGGAGCTGGTTATTAAATCGTACGTCATCCACCAAAAGCGAGTTGCGACCTGTCTGTCAGCTTCTCCTCGACTGCCAATACATTCATCCAAGTGTGGGCAGCAATGGAAAATCTGTTTTTCATGGACATAAGTAGCATTTACACATAGATTTGAATCACCGTTCCAATGCAGCTTGCCCTCTGTTAAGTTTGTTGTCCATCGTATGCCGACCGAGTGAGGTGATAAACCCACAGTTGCTGCTCGTCGGACTAATCCACACTTATCTTTTTTGGAGAGCCATATTGAGCTTCGTTCATACGGTCATCGACGGTTCGTGCATGCATGGTTCGGTTGACTTTCTGTCCGTTGGCCCTGTGACAGCTTCTTTCGCCCAATCCATCAGTACATTCATTATAAATCAAGTTATCTTCGGTCACAAGCAGGAATTTTGTTCCGAAAATTTATTGTTTGTGTTGATAAGTGTTTTACTAGATATTTTAACCTATAGGACGTTGACCGTTAATAGTCAAGTATGCAAATTAGAGTGCTCCATGTTGAAGCTGATGTTACATTCTTGATGCTTCTTCACCGCAGTTGGGCTAAACCAACTTACACTTAAACTAGGTGTTTTTAAGCTGGATAAATTTCATTCCACTTTATTTAGTTTATTCTGCCTACTTGAATAATCTGCTATTAACTGGCCACATTGCTTGCGCTAATTGCGCTTATCTTCAGTAACTTTGTTGCGTTTGTAGCATTTTTGAGTCACTTGTAGACGTTTTTTCCTTATCGCGGATTCGTTGCAAACCAACTTACGTCATAAGGTAATTTAGCAAAGAGTTATGATACCTTATCTGTATGCATTATTGAATTTATTTTAGTTCATCTCGTCGTTTCAAGTGACTGACTGTTGCTTGATATCCCCAGTGAGGCTGCGCTTGATGTGCATGTTGACAAGGTGCCTATCTGTCTATTACCCACTACCTCGTCCATACTGGCTCCAGGAGACAGTTGGTCGTTGCTGGAGGTGACGGAGTGCATGGTCCTTGTGGCCATGTTAGGCTCGTAGAGCAGTTCAGTGCACTCAGTGTGGAGCGGACCACGGTCCAGCCACGGCCTTGTGTGCGCTTGATTCCCCAAATACAGTGTGCTTGTGTTTGCTTGTGAAGGAGTGTGAGCCGGCTCCGTTGATGAAACGTGGCTCGCATCCACATGCCTACCGGTCTTATTCCTTCGGGTTTACACTGGATATGGATTGTGTGGTTGGAGGTGTGGGTGGTGCAGTGCAAGCCACCCATGGTCCCTCTGTAGGCGCAGGCGTCCTGTGACTTGCCACAGTGACAGGCAAATCCGAAACCGGATGCCGCCAACCATGAGAGTATGCGTACATTCGCACAAAAATTCTGAATAAGAGTTATGCTTGTGTACGAAGATCATCATACGATAAAGAAGGAACTGATCATGCCGTTCACTCGCACAGCGATACGGTGCCGACGAGCGACGATCGATTGTTAGCGAAGCGAGAGCGAGCACTTACATGAGGTACGTTATCTTAACTGGATTGTAAGGGAACCACTGCAAATACTTAGATTGAGGCATTACATACGGAAAGAACCGCATTTATACTCCAACATGACGGCGATACCAGCAAATGATCTTACAAATAAATATATATATATGTATATATATATATATATATGTGTGTGTGTGCGTAATGTGCTAATAGAGTGGACTCTTCATTCAGTTCTTTTATCTCCATTCTCTTAACCAGGGCTTTTCTTATGTGGCCCCCAGTGTATGTGAGGACAGTATGCGGGATTCCTTGCCAGATAGCCAATCGAGCTCTCGGCGGCGACAGTTTGGGTAAGTTTTGGGGATGTTAACACTTTTTCTTTTACTTCGCCAATGGTATACTGGCAGCTCTCTTATCCTTGCTTCGTCTCTCCTGGGTCTCCATCTCTAATCTGGTTCCTCCCACACCATCACTGGCAACTAAGTGTTGCTCCACTCGTCCATTGGAATTGCTATATGATGACCTACTCGTCTCAATGCGGTTTGTTCCCAGAGTCCGAACACTTATGTTCTCTGGATGGAATTACCTATCCGCTTCATCATGCACGTGGACTGTAGCGCCTTTGGTATGCGGAACGTTGGCTGTTGTATTCACTTTCCTTCCATCATTCACCGATTCACTGAGAAGCAGTGGTGTCAGGAAGCCGCCTAGGTTAGGATTCCCTGGCAATATCCAAACTCACATGCGAAGTATGCATATTACATTAATATTCATATCGTGTTTGCTCCCAACTTACATCCGTTTCAGTATAATCACATTAACTGCTGGCACTGCCTCGTTGGTCTACTTCTTATAGCCAAAGACTCGGGATGGGGTCCCTTAAATCAATCCTCTTCCTCCGTCTGGGCAACCGGAAAGCTGTATGACCACACAACACGTAACCCTCCCACTGACTACCAGTATTTTTCCTTTTTATTGTTGTTTCCCATTTGATGTGGCACTTTGACAATTGTAAACTGATCAAGTGTTGAACAACTATAACCATACTACAGTAGTATGAAGGAGTAGAAAAGGGTCTATATACTTGTTGTTGTGGACGACACCCATTGAGCTCGCTACATCCTAACTCCACCCTGGCTGTATCTGCTCGGGGTGTTTTAACAGTATGCAACTGATCGTGAATTACCTTACTGGAAGCGCGAACAGCACCTTGCAGTAATGCGTCTGCAGTCCACTCCTTTACTCGTTCTTTACTATATTCGATTGTGATCCAGAACCTATTTTTATGTTTAGGGCAATTATGTTTCATTACGTATTGCTCGTTTCGGACGCCTTTTATATGTAGGGTAACGTTGGGAGCAACCATTTATATGTTGACTTAAAATGAAGATGTTTACAAAGAAGCAGCGAATGACGAATTAACGGCCGAAGTCCACAAACTGATCATAATTTCCATTTGACTGTCCTCCAAATATGGCATTATTCAAGAGACTCACTCAGTGCAGACTATTTGAAAGCAAAATTACTTCCCGTTATTTCCAACTGCAAGGAGCATGTAAATGTTTGCTTCCTGAAATATGGTGGCTCATCTGATACTTCGTTTACCGAAACATCTAGACGGATCCCTTACGAAACACCTGTTTCTCATCCAGAATTACGAATCTCGTAGTCACTGTCGACGACTTAAATTCTTTGCTAGGCCGTCTACCGCATAAGGTCTAGGTGATAGTTTCTGAAATAGAAACCTATGGCATTTAAGAAGGGGATTGGGCTCGCCAATTATGAACTCACCGCAACCTCTTGTTTGACTATCTACCTCACATCGAACCATTACGGATTCAACACAACTATATGTCCATCAGTTGCGGATGACCCACATTACTGCTCCCATTTTGGGCCGATTTAGAACACCACCGGGATCTCGATCATGCTACAGTGTATACCCGCCAGACTTCAAAATTAGCCGTTCGGTACCATTAGACAACACTGTCAGTCGGAGTTGGGTAGTCAGTTGTTAACGGCGAATGAGACTGATGCCAATTGGAGACACCTCCGGTGCACCACGCGGAGTGTTGCCGCGCCGGTCTGTCCATTTTTATGGATTCGTTTCTAAGGGTGAACACATTGCTAAGGCTTCAACTGGTTCAAATGGACGAAAAATAATCCCATCTTACCCTATCTGCGAAACTGCTGCAGTGACTGACCAATGTTGGTGAGCGCGACAAGCTGGCGTGATCTGGAGGAAACGATGGCTTTTCCATTCCATCTACTGCACAGGCACAGTGGGCTTGTGCAGATGAAACAGTATAGAACAATGAACAGTTGATCTTTTAGCAGGCGTATCACGCGTACATCGTCCAGGGATCACTTGACCCCTTATGTGCTACTGATATCTCGCTTCCTACCTCCGAACAGATCTGAAACAGGGTTGTCGGATATGATTACTCTATTGAGAAATACTTCCCGGAGACGAGATCAGAAACAGAAAGTAGCGAACAAGCTTGTTTTCAGGGCTTTATCCTCAGGCTACTACAACCACAATAAAACAAGCTAGAATAGACGCAATGGGTTTAAATTGGGTCACTGAAGCAGAGTAACTAATCGATAAGTCTACGTGCTTGGTTGAGGCGAGGTCAGGTGAAGTGGCGTGACTGCCATTGTTAGTCGCGTTGGTCTGAGGCCAAGGCAGGGTTAAAGTATGGACGAGTTTTTCTGTGCACATAGGTCCGGATTATAGAGCCGAATTGCGATCGCCTCTGCTACCGACATCAGGTGTCATCTGACTGCCCGTGTGTAACTGAATACTGTATTTTGGAGCAAGAAGAAAATAATTCTGTACAACTCCATCGGGTGATAATCAAAAACATTAAAAAAAATAAACACGTCCGGTGGTTATCCTGAGATAGTTCAGCAACTCCTTTTGTAGCACACAAAATGCTTGTTCACACAGTGAGTCACAAGTGGGTGGTATCGTTGTCAAGTGGCAACCGTTCTCTGAAACGTATCTTAGCGAAGTGTAAATCCAACAAAGATTTGGATTTCTGCACAGATTCGGCCTCGACGACGTGTTCTGGCAGACTGTTCCAGGCGTGCACAACCCTCCGCTCGAAACACAGGGGGTGTGGGATTTTCTTCAGATCAGGTAGCACGATTTTCTACCTGTGCCCACGTGTGGTGCATGGTACTCGCAAGTGTAGTAACGACCTAAGCATGGGGAAATGACCGAGATGTAAAATACGGTAGGTCATGATAAGATCCACTCGAACACGGCGATAGGACAATGTGTAGAGCCCAAGTTTCATGCACCGGTTTTCATACGATAAGCCTCTCAAGCTGGGGATCAACTTGGTGGCGACGTGTTGTACTCGTTCGATCTTTTGCGCTTCGCCGCGAGTCATCGGACAATATGCAGGCGAGCCGTACTCTAGCATTGGTCTGACGATGGAAGAGAAGAGGCGAGTGGCGACGTCCTCAGACCAAGTGCAGAAGCTGCGCTTCAGCGCCCAGAGCATGCGCAGTCCGTTTCGATACACTTTGTTGGTGTTGTCGACGGACTTCAAGTCGCAGCGTGAGAGTACACCTAGGTCTTTCACGGAAGGTGTGGGATGCAGTGGTTGGCCGTCTAGGGTGTGCGTTCGGTCGTGAACAGTCTTCCCGAGATTCATGAATAGGGACTTTGCCGGGTTGACCGGTAGGTGGACTTCAGCAGACCATACTGCGAGGCGGTCGAGGTCTTGTTGGAGAATGTCACAGTCATCGAGAGTATTAATTTCTCGCCAAATTTTGAGGTCATCCGCAAACAGTGCACACGGCGACCGTAGAAGCTGGGGCAGCTCGTTGATGTGGATGAGAAACAGAGTGGGTCCCAGTACCGTACCTTGAGGTACACCACTGGTCGAGGGATACCAATCGGTTAGATGGCCGTCCACCTGTACCCTCCACTTTCTTCCAACGAGAAATTCATGGATCCATTGATGTAACGATCCTCCGACACCACATGACCTTAATCTGTCTAGAAGCACTTCATGATTAACTTTGTCGAATGCTTTGCTGAAGTCGATGTAGATTACGTCGACGGACTTTCCCCGGTTCAGAGCTTGCAACCATTCCTGTCTCGTCACAAGTAAGTTGGTAACACAAGAATATCCCATCCTGAATCCGTGTTGTGCCGGTGTCAGAAGTTCCTTCGATTGCAACAGATGTATTAGACGCTTTTTTACTAGCTTCTCGATCACTTTGGCCAAAACGGGTGTAAGACAAATTGGCCTGTAGTTATCCACCTTACTGGGGTCGCCACCTTTCGGGATCGGCCTCACCACCGAGCGCTTCCAGTCGTTTGGCAATGAGCCCTCATACAATGATTTGTTGAATAGATCCGTAACAGCAGGCGAGATAATGGCAGCTAGTGATTTGATGATTAGCGGATGAAGCCCGTCAGGCCCTGCAGGCTTGGTACCGTCAATGTTCGCAAGTAGCAGGCGCACCTCGTCGACATCACAAACCAAACTGTTGAGTTCTACAGGAGCGTTACTCGCTGAGATGGGTATGGACGCCGCGTCGTTTGCAAACACGGAAGCGAAGTGAGCGGCCAGTGCGGACGTGCGATCGGAACTGGAAGTTAGCAGATGTCCGTCCGCGTCTTCCAGACATGACGTCACCTTTTGGCTTCAAACGGCGTTTCACGTAAGCAAAGATCTTCTTTGGGGCCATCCTCGCGTCAGCTGCAAGCTTTTCTTCGAACTTCCGACGCTTTATCAATTTCACTTTGTTGCAAATATTTCGCTGTCTTTTATATGCTTCGTAATCAGTGGCTGAGCCAGAGAGGCGAAATGCGTCCCACATTCTTCGCCGTAACCGAGCCAGCCTACCATATTCCTTGTCGAACCAGTGTGGTTTGATTGGTCCGACTTTCTGAAATTTCAACGGCACAAACTGAGAACAAAGCGAAGCCAATTCTTCCTTTATTACTGCCCAACCGTCCTGCACGGACGTAACATGCGGTAGAGACCAATCCATTTGGCTCGCTGCTCGATTTAATCCATCGAAATCAGTTTTCCAGTAGTTGTAAGCTGGTTCCACCGGAGATACACTCGGCAAGTTCAGTTCCATAGTGGCTATCAGCACGGAATGGTCGCTTTTAGCTAGGGGCTCCTGGATTCGTATGTCATGCAACCGCTATTCGCAATTCATCACTATCAAATCAAGGCACGATGGGTTCGAACGCGACGTCATGCGCGTAGGTTGGCATATGTGTTGCGATGCCCCAGTTTCAAGCAACAAATCAACAAACTTTGATTCGACTTCAGAATACCCGGGCATGAGTTGGACTTCAGGCCATTGAATGTGGGGA